AAGTTTCTCAAAATTTGCGAAGACAAATTGAACTTTTATACGGGATATTTGGTTATGTCATCGGGCAAAATATTGCTAAACATAAAGAAGGATAACATGGTAAGTGTAATATATTTAATGGCTGTTATTTGCACTATTATTATGTAAATATGCACATGTATCTGACTCAGGAGTGAGCATTTAAAGCTGCCATTTACAGTATTTTTCAAATAAATATTAAAACTGATTTGAAACTTGAAAGTGACTGCTCTCGTCTTCTGGATGATGACCAGCTTTGTTCACAGCTCGTTAATATAGGTGCAAAACTTTAATGAAAGCATTTTGTATTTTCAAGGAAGAATACGAGTATTTTCAAATAGAAATCCCTTTACTTAGATTTAATCATTAACAGCCATTATGCATATGCAACCTAGCTGCTGCCATACTGTATACAATCGAATAAAAATTTAAACTTTGCTCGCTACTCTGGTTTAAACAAATGATTAAAAAGCCCAGTCGAATTGTAATCAAGACCCAACGTTTCGACACACCAGTCTAGTGTCTTCATCAGGGGTAATCTAAAGTTGCAATTGTGGCTTCTTGAATACCCAATGACGTCACCTGCCAATGAGATGCATGTATTCCTCTGGGCTTTGTAATCATTTATTTAAACCAGAGTAGCGAGCAAAACATGATTAATATCCCTTGGTTGCAGTGAACGAACAAAGTTTACTCCTATGGTTATTATTACACCAGGGATGGATGTAATTTGATTTGGTAGGAGGGGTTACTGAACAAGGGCTGGTCATAAAGCAGGGCCTGACCATCAACTGAGGCAGGATGCATCATTATTAAGGGCACCATACATGCTGAAGGAGCCAAGCATGTCAAAACAAAGTTGCCTATATGGTCATAAAGGCCCATTTTCTTGTTGGTTAATTGCCTCAGATTTAACCCAAAATATCCCCCTCCCCCCAAAAAAAATCTCAAGTAAATCCATCCCTCTACTAAATAAAAAAACGCTTCTTTCTCAGTTTTTTTTTCTCACAGCTGATATTTTTTATAGAAATCTGTGATATTACAATTACAACCTTGAAAATATGATTATCTGACAACATAGACAACATTCTGATGAGACTATATACTTTTTGTAGTCGTATTTTAAGCTATTCAAAACATTCCTACTCGTGTTTTAAATAGTACATAATATTCATATAATTATATAAATATATTAAAGTATTAAATTATGTGACCCATAGATCTGCAACAAATACATCAAGGCCATACTATAGTAGTGAAATATTCAATGAAAGTAATCATTTTATAAGAAATCTACTGTTAATTTAAGCCCTCCACATCCTCTGAAATTGAGATTACAACAAAGAAATGCATGTATGCTGAAAGTATGTGCTATATAGTTTCTAGACTCCATGCTTGAAATCAGGGCCATACCCAGGATTTTTCACCAGGGGCAGCAGTAAGGCCCAAATGCCAAAAAAGTCCCAAATATCCAAAGAATAATTAATATATGACATTATAAAAATCGAAAATACAGTTTTCTCTGAGGGAGGCAGTTGCCCCCCCTGCTGTATACAGCCCTGCCTGAAATAAATAAGCTGCTTGGCCAGCTTGGGGCTTAACAGAAAATAAACAGGACAGCAGTGTAAGGGGCAAACCACTCTCCTATTTCTAAAAGCCTTTGGATGATATAATATCCATGAAAGCATAGATTGGGAATAAAATAAGCTATAATTGATTGTGTGATGTTACTCTGAGTGTATATCCACACCGGACAGGCTTGAAAAATATGCCCACTGTCGTCAGGCATATTTTTCAAGCCTGTCCGGTGTGGATATACACTCAGAGTAACATCACACAAGCATCTTATTCACCTGAGTACATTACACCAACACTGCAAATATCAAGCTATAAATTGTCAGAATTTTGAGGCAGAATTTAAAGAACTGAGATTTAGAGCACCATAAGGCGTTTGTATTGTGGCAAGCTAAATTCAGCTTTCCCATGACCAGGGTGTGATAATTCAATCTTTTTAGCCGTACCTGACTGGTACTCCGACAACTTTTGCCGCATACCTGGTCTGGTACAAACTTAAGAGTCAAGACGTACCTTAGCCTGCGTCACAGACTTCAAAACACATGTTTTATCATTTTAAAACATGTGTTTTGAAGTCTGTGACGCAGGGTAGACGTACCTAAGACTACTTCTGAGTCATGTGTTTTTATACCTACCTTGTATAGTTTACTTCGTCCAAAAGCAAAAAATGTACGGGCAATTTTGTACAAATGAATCTTTAATTATGGTATTTATGGTAGTTACTGCAAATCAAGTTTCACCCTCTTCGAACTTTACTGACACAACAAAATATAAGCAGACTTCAAAATTGAGCCTTCCCACATTTAATAGAAACTCTCTTCATTGGCAAACATTTTGGGACTTGTTTGATGCTGCAGTTCATTCAAACACAAATCTTACTGGAGTTCAGAAATTCAATTACTTGAAGGCCCAAACCAGTGGAGATGCTGCAAGAGCAATTAGTGGATTTCCCCTTACAAACACCAATTATGAACAAGCAATTATACTGTTAAAGGAATGATTTGGCCAATTATATAAGATAGTCAATGCCCATATGCAAGCCCTATTGAACATTCCCAAACCATCAACTAACTTAATCAGTTTAAGACAGTTTTACGACACTATTGAGAATCATATTAGAGGTCTGTCTGCACTAGGAAAGTCTGGGAAATTCTTTGGATCCCTCCTAACACCTGTTATACTTGGAAAACTTCCTGTTGAACTGCAAAGGAATCTTGCTAGAGAACAAAACAATTCTGAATGGACAATTAATCTACTGAGACAAGCCATCTTAAAAGAAGTTACGATCTCGAAAGTAGCAGTTCCAATTGACGATCCTCTTAGAACATTTAATGAACACACCTCACCATCTATGACAGCATCCTTCCACACCACTGCACATGGGTCATATCATGCCAATCCTTCACCCCCTAACCCACCCCAACCTCCCCCCACCCAGAGCAAGGGTGAACCCTCCTGTCTCTACTGTAAGGGAAAACATCACCCAATAGCATGTAACATGGTCATAGACAGTAACAAACAATATCAAATTGTAAAGAAAGAAAACCGATGTTTTAATTGTTTGGGACACCACAAAGTACTTGCAAAATCCCCAGAACTCCTAAAAATGTATGGGGACATAATCACTGACCAGGAGAACCATGGCTTCATTGAACGAGTTGAACCACAAGAAAGCGAAAGGGAAACACATTACGTTCTGCATCATCCTGTTGTCAAGAATTCTCCCACAACACCAGTTAGAATAATTTACGATTGCAGTTGCTGACAGTCTCCCAAAACTCCAAGTTTGAATGATTGCCTACAAGTTGGATCACCACTCCTTACCGATATGTTCCATTATCCTTCATTTTAGAACACACCCCTTTGCCTTCACTGATATTGAAAAGGCATTCCTCCACGTAGGTTTAAACGAACACGACCGCAACTTTACCCGTTTCGTTTGGCTGTCTAATCCAAATGATCCCGAATGTCCATTTATCACTAACCACTTCAAGGTCGTACTGTTTGGCGCCGCTAGCTCACCCTTCATGCTTAATGCCACATTACAACACCATCTAGACAAATACAGCACTCAAGTGACAGAAGACATCAAGGAAAACCTCTACGTTGACAACCTGATTACGGGATGTGAGACAGAGGACGAAGCCGTTGATTATTATAATGAATCTCAATCCACCATGGCTCTAGGCCACTTTAATCTGAGGTATTGGGCAAGTAACAGCCAACAACTTTGTTCTCATGTTGCCAAAGACCACACGGAAGATAAAAGTGAAAAAGTCAACATCCTTGATCTTCGATGGAACCCTAAGATGAACAAAATTACCCTAGCACAGAATGATAGCAATTGACCATTTGCATAATAGACTAAATTTTTATCTAAACAAGTCCAGCCAAAAATTTCATCACAGCTTGAAAGAGCATAACAAAATTAGTAATATTCCAAAGTTTTGTTTGCGAAATGTTGTAAAATGTGGAAAATATACCTTGCGAAGTTTGCAATTTTCAGTCATTTTAGATTACGAACGGGAAATTGATAGCCCCAAAGGGTTGTTGAGAGCAAAATTTAGTCTATTATGCAAGTGGTCCATTTGACCCAACAATCCCCTATGACTGAACAAACTGTCCTTCAGCAATCTGCCAAAGTATATGCCCCACTTGGTCTTATCACACCAGTGACAGTGAGAGCACGAATCCTCATTCAGGAATTGTGGCGCAGAAACCTCCCATGGTATACACCTATCCCAGCAGACCTTCAATAGAAGTGGTCAAGTATTGCTGCAGATATCTATAAGAATATTACAGAACATGCCAGCCTTCCTAGACAATACTTTTCAGAGCATATAAAGCCACAAGAGAACATAGAATTGGACATTTTCTCTGACGCGAGCACAGTCGCATATGGCGCAGTTGCCCTCACATTTCCTTTATTATGGCGAAAAACCGTGTTGTCCCTCTCAAGGAACTAACGTTCCCAGAACTAGAGCTTATGGCTGCCCTAATCGGTGCACGTTTAGCCCACTTCATCCAACAAAGCCTTGAGAAACGATTCCACAACCTACGAGTCACGATTTGGACTGATAGCCAAATTGTGTTACATTGGTTGCACAGCTGAAAATCATTATAGCCATTCATACACAATCAAGTTAAAGAGATCAATCAACTTTATCCTGCATCGACCTGGCACTATTGTCCCACACAGGGTCTTAGCTAGGATTTTAGATCTTGGGCGTGTTTCTAATGACCAGGGCGTGTACATGACAATTACCTTGAATAGCAAAATCACGGTTCTAGTTATGCTCGCCAACAACAGACAATGCCTGTTGTTGTTCTGTGCTTTGCAACCAAATACAAGGCGAGCATACGCTCATATTGCGCACTGACATTAAAATATTAAGTTATTTCAGCAACTCTTGGGGGTATTTAAAACCATTTTAACACCATATACAATTCTCATTATCCATCAAAATATTAAAACATCACGAATCACTTTTGCCAATTCAACGCAACAACAGTAGATTTTACAAACTTTCTTACGACGTAAATAGGAAGAAATTCTGTCTGTTGTAAGTAGCACCACCTTATTTAATGAACCTACACGGCCTTATATGAATATTGAAGCCGCGTTCATTTTATCTAGCCGTGTTTTCCCACTTTTGGCCGCGATAACACGGCCAACACGGCCCTCTAGCTAAGACCCTGGTCCCACATCCAACAATCCTGCTGATCTGCTTACCAGTGGAATTACCGCTGATCAGCTGGGATCATCCACAATTTGGCAACATGGACCACAGCTAATGTCAGAAAGTCAGTGGCCAAATTGGTCACCCGCAGAATCCCAAATCTCGTCAGCACAAACACTTGCTACCGCTACCACCACAGCAACCGAAGATGTATCCACTCAAATGAGTGACCAACCAGGAATACACTGCCTTATTGACGTATCTAAACACACCAGATTAACATGTGTCGCCTGTATCACCGCTTACATCCTACGGTTCGTCAACATCCTGACTAAAAGAAATCCACCAAACTATGACGCATTGACCACCAAAGAAATTCAAGAAGCACAACACAAATGGATACAAAATACCCAATCACTTGAGTATGGCCAAGAAATTGCGAATCTAAAAGCCAAGTCTGCCAGTTGTTTACAATCAGTGAGACAACTCCGTCTCTTTCTTGACAAACATGGCCTTCTTCGTTGTGGCGGGAGGATCGATATTGCACCCGTCCACAAGTTAACCAAGTTCCCTTACCTGATGCCACCTGAACATCCCATTACCAATTTAATCATTCAAGACGTCCACCAGAACCAGTTACATGCAGGTGTAAACTCGACAGGTGTACCGCTCTACAACAGACGTTTTGGGTTCCAGCTGCACGTCAGTCTGTGAGGTCAGTTCTACGACGTTGTGTCAACTGCTGAAAGATAATAGGGAAAGTATATCATGCCCCAGATCCGGCACCACTACCAGAATACACGAAGTCATACCTTTCAAGGTCACTGGAGTCGATTTTACAGGAGCACTATATGTACAGGTTATTTTGAGGCAACAAGGGGATATGTGATTTATCCCCGAGGTGCCTCAAAATAACGTACTTATTTTTCACATTGCGAGGTTGCGTTAATGATTCAGAATAGAAATAATTCTTAATGCCATATTGCCTTTGTTATGTTGTTTTTTTCTCATTTTTTGTGCTGCAAAGACATTGCAGGTGAATATTAGAGGGGATTATTAATTGCAGGTGAATATTAGAGGGGATTATTAAACTGAAATTGATTAGAGGGGAATATTGAATATATTCCCCGATAAGAACAAAGGAAACCGAGCAGGGTGAAAAATAAGTTAAAGTAAACGGATCTGAACAGAAAGGTCTACATTTGTTTGTTACATGCGCAGTTTCACGAGCAATACACCTAGTCGTCACTGATCTGACAGAAGAAACATTCATCCAAGCATTCCCGTCGCTTTGCCAGTCAAAAGTCTCTACCAAGAAGAATATCAGACAACGCGTCAACGTATCTATCAGCAGGGAATGAACTCAAACAAATATTCCAATCCCCTTCATTGAAACAAGACTTCGCCAACCATGGTGTCAAATGGGAATTCGTCCCGTTGGTAACAGCTAATTGGTATGACAAAAACAGTCATCAAAAGGGTTCTCGGAAGAGCAAGTATAACCCTCACAGCACTGCAAACTCTAGTAACGGAAATTGAAGCAGTTATCAATGATCGACCAATCACATATGTCTCTTGTGACATGACAGACTTAGAACCGCTGACACCATCTCATCTATATGGAAGAAGAATTACGTCACTTCCATACCCACTCGTAGAAAGCGATGAAATCGAAGATCCAGATTTCCTGGACAATTCAGAAGTAAGGAAAAAAGCAAAGACGCAAGCACTAAGGTTACAACATTTTGAGTCGCGCTGGAAAAGAGAATACCTAACATACCTTCGAGTTACACAAGAACTCAGGAAACAATGATCAATCGGTTAAAGTCAGGGACGTAGTATTAATACATAGCGATAACCCAAGAGTTAAATGGAGAATGGCAGTAATCAAAAGTCTGATTAGGGGAGCC